CTATCTATCAATCCATCTATCCAATCATTCGAGGTTGTGCATTTATGCCCTTTGGGAATTGGAAACTATCGTAAACTATCGTATTTAGTACGATTTTTTCGTAAATAATTGTTTTTAATTCTGAGGACATTAGTCATATGACAGACTTTACTATGGTGAGGTGTATTCACGAATTCCTTCCGACTAAATTTCCTTCAGCAGAATGTGATATGGAAAAATGCCTGGCCTTCCTTAAAAATGATCTTGGAGTACCTCTGATTCCGTTTGAAGAGGCGAGTGAAAGGGAGTCCGTCGTAAGTTAACCCCACCTGAAGCTGTGATGAAAGATTTGTGCGAATAATTTCTCGGCGCACCGCCAGACGACCCCAACGTCATTCAATTGAATTCAATGGCAGAGTCATGTTTACTTATATCATCGTGGGAAATTTCAACTGCCCTCCTTTGCACTCTAAACAAAATTGTATGAATATATCTCAAATATATGATTGAATGGTAGTCTGGCAAGTTTACTTATAAAAACAAAAAATGTGAGTTGTCGTGTCCACGTGCAAGTCGGTATTCGAAACTACCAATCGAGCGAAATGCCAGTTCCAGTATATCTGCTATTGTGCCTTCCCGACGGCAAACTGGCAGAACTGTTGGTTGACAATTATTGTGACTGGATTGCTATGATTTTCCTGTCGTCTGGAAGCGTGCGATGAAGAAATTGGTTGATTGTCTTCAACGGAATATGACACCATATTCCGCTTTCGCAAAGGCTCCAATTGGTGCAGTCCTCGAGACAGCCTCCTTTGCTCAGAATTGTTGAGTTAGCTTCCAGTTCGCGTGGAATTGTGTGATGAAAAGAGCCTCGTAACTCGATCCCACTCGAAGACGAACGCGGAGTCTTCTTGGTCAACTGTTGGTTGGCTTTACTGGAACATTCTATTTGACATTTCCATCAAGGCACTGTCTTTAAGTTACGATGAAAAAGTACTAAGCTTTGGTCCGTCGTATAACACGCATCATCAAAGCAGGATAT